TAAAATTACAATGAAAAATATATATCCAATACGAAGGATCCTGGAGTACCAACTAAGACTACAATAAAATATATATCCAATACGAAGGATCCCTGGAGTACCAACTAAGACTACGGTAAAATATATATCCAATACGAAGGATCCCTGGAGTACCAACGAAGACTACGGTAAGAATATATATCCAATACGAAAGATTCCTGGAGTACCAACGAAGACTACGGTAAGAATATATATCCAATATGAAGGATCCCTGGAGTACCAACGAAGACTACGGTAAGAATATATATCCAATATGAAGGATCCCTGGAGTACTAACTAAGACTACAATAAAAATATATATCCAATATGAAGGATCCCTGGAGTACCAACGAAGACGAGAAAAGCAATTTTAAAATTTTTATGGCGGGATGTAACAAAACAAAGTGATTGAAAACTCTTACACACAAGTTGGGTTTTTTTATAAAACGAAATAGTTTTTTTTCCTTTTTTTTCAAATTTAACTTTTTTATTCAAACAGTTGGTCAGCCTCCACACAAACATAAACGAGTATCTGGGTTCTATCTGTACAAAAATAGTATAGATAAAACCCAGATACTCGGTAGCAAAAAAATATTTCGAAAGAAGTTTTTACAGTTTACCTGATATTTGGATCCAGTATTTACCATGAATAATAAAGCAAATGTATGTGATTAAAAAGTGTGTGAGGAAAACTTTTAAACTTCATTAAACTATACTAAAAGTAAATTAGGAGTAGGCAAGTTCGGACGACGTCACCATATGTGTAAGCGAAGGGGGGGGGGGGTACATAGGAAAAGTTTTTTGGGAATGGATCTGTCATCCCTCAGAGCCCTATCTCAGAAAGCAGTGTTTATGTGTTAAGGTTTTATGTGTGATTTTCTTCATATGTTTATAGACACTTACAGTCCCGGTACGATCACCTGTTAGGTTTTAATACTTATTCCCCATATCCAGGTTTGATGTCTCTAGATAAGTCAATCGGTTTATCAGTTTTGATCAGACCATTCGGCTCAGTGTCTCTTGTACTAAAGGTGTTTGGTAAGTTGTGTAGTAGGTTTAACCTCGCAATCATTGAGACGCCTCACACGGCCTTCAGATTCGTTCAGAGATCTATGTACCTAACTTCATACATGAGTAGTCTAGACAGGCCATTTATCTGTTTTCAAATATAAACTACCCAAACCAAAAAAATGTTTCGTACGCAAATTTTCTCCTTAGAAATAAACAAAGAAAATAACAGTAATAGATTACGTCACAATAAAAAAACTGATCATAATTTTTAACAAAACTTTCTTTAATGGGGCCGTATACGGGTTTCCAGCAAGAAGAACTTTAAATATGAACTAAACCCTTAAAATAATAGGTCTTAACTATACACTGTAAACATATACCTGACTAGGATAGAAATTAAATATACACTGTAAAGATGTAACTGACTAGGATAGATATTAAATATACACTGTAAACATGTAACTGACTAGGATAGATATTAACTATACACTGTAAACATGAAACTGACTAGGATAGATATTAACTATACACTGTAAACATGAAACTGACTATGATATATCTTAACTATACACTGTAAACATGAAACTGACTATGATATATCTTAACTATACACTGTAAACATGAAACTGACTATGATATATCTTAACTATACACTGTAAACATGAAACTGACTAGGATAGATATTAACTATATACTGTAAACATGTAACTGACTATTATAGGTCTTAACTATATACTATAAACATGAAATTAATTAGGATAGGTCTTAACTCTATACAGCTAATATGTAACTGACAATAGTGGGCTTTAACTATACACAGTTAACTGACAAACCTCACAGAATATCTGCTCAGCCCAGCTTTGGTCAAAGTTCCCCAAGATGATTCTCACATCTTTCTCCTGTCAAAATCAAGACCAATTATTACATTGTACTTTTTATAACATCAAAACATCTTAGAAGACAGCTGTTAAAATCTAAGACAGTACTGCCAAGTTATTCTACATTATACTTTCTCCTGGTGTTTGCTCTCACTGAAAATAATATCAAAATATTCAACTAAATACATCTAATAGTTGTTATTCTTAGACAAAATCTCACTGAAAACTTCTACAAAAACTTAGTGGAAAATTACTAGTTTAAAACATAGTGAGCTTTAAACTGTTTTATTATTATAACTCTGGCACTCTGCTGTTCACGTTTTGGGCAACAAAAAGTTGCCCCCCTCCCCTGTAGCAAGGCGGTTTGTCTGCGGATTTACAACGCTAGAATCCGGGTTTTTATACGCGTGGTGGGCAAAGCACAGATAGCCCATTGCTGCTTTGTGCTTAATTTCAAAGAAACAACAAAACGTTTTCGAAAGACTAAATGTGTTTCGTAATACGGAGTTAAAAAATTTCAGGTTTTCTTTCCTCCCTCGTGGTATTTACGTCACCTAAATACGTCTTATCATTATAACTCTGTCCATATTATTTGCGTCAATGAAAAGTATATTTGAAACCTGATGGAATTATTTTAAACTTAGCAGAGCTTACTATTTTGAAAACGTTAAGTTAGTGCAAGCTCTAGTTTCACAAAAATTATTAAAATCTGGTTCCCAAATGTACATTTTCCCCTTTACTATTACTTTTAAAATTGTTGCTGGACAGAAATTCCATCTTGAAAACAATCTAATCGATTGCTGGCGGTCGCCTTTCATGTTTTTTTTTTCTCTCTCTCTCACTAGTATTTCATGAACTATTCATCAGACGTTACTCGACGTTTTGGTTAAGATCGATCGCTTTTTTTTACAAATATCAGTTTAAAATTTTACCCGACGTTACACTAGCCACTAAGAGGCTTTGTTAATGACAAATCTAACGTTTTGTAGAATTCTAATAGAGAAGCTAACAAAGACTTCCAGCAAGTCGAGGACGTGAATTACATTGTAATTGTAGCACATTCTATGTAGACCATTACAGATTAAACATCTGGACATAACTCATCCGACAGGTCAAACTCTGACCCTAAGTAACGTTATGATGTCTTTGTACTGAACTGACCTAAGGAGCTGGACGTAGCTTAGTGGTTAACGTGTCAGACTTTAGTTCATTTAGTTCAGGAGGTCCAAGGTTTAAGCCGCGATATGCAGCTGAAGACATTCTACACCTGGAGTTGCGGGGGCGTTATAAATGTGACAGTCAGTTCCGATATTCCATTATGAACGATGTCACCATGTGGTTGCCTCTGATCAGTCAGCATTTCTAAATGAACCATGGGCGTTTAACCCATGTGTCGCATATGGTTACGTTCAGGACTGAAATCATCAATTATTAGAATAATCTAAACAAGAAAAAATTAGTCTAAAAATGTCTTACAACAATGCACGTGTGATCATGTTTGTTCGGATGTGCAAGTTACAACATTTTCTGGTTTCTCCGTCTTAGTTTTATATCCAAGGAGAAGCTATTAAAGCTATAATCCCTTATTTTGAACTACTGACCAGAGGGTAGAAACTCAATCAACAGCGCCCTACTAACTGTCTGCCGTCATCCCTTATTTTGAACTACTGACCAGAGGGTAGAAACTCAATCAGCAGCACCCTACTAACTGTCTGCCGTCATCCCTTATTTTGAACTACTGACCAGAGGGTAGAAACTCAATCAGC